TGCACCTACTGTGTGCCAGGCTGATGGTGGATAAGACATTACTGTTCCACACCTTCAGGGAGCTCACATTAATCTCCCCATTCTTCCTTAGTAATAGAAGTAAGATTCTTTCAGTGTGTGTGAAGGGTAACATTTACTGGCTCATTTCCCCAACATCCTTTGCAGCTGGGCAAGGCCTTGTGGCTAAGTTCTGGGCAATGGTATTTTAGTGTAAGTGTAATATGGAGCTTCTGAGAAGGTTGCTTAAACTCATCTGGGAGTGGACACTTTTGAACATTGCCTACTTCTTCCTGCTTCCGACCTAGAATGTGGGTATGATGGCTGCAGTTTCAACAACCATTTTGGATCGTGAAGTGATGTTGAGGATGGCAGAAAAGAAAGACAAAAGAAAGCAGGATTCCTAGTGATCTTTTGGAGTCATCTTACCAGCCCTGGACTGGTCTTTTTAAATCTGTAAGAAAAATAATCTTTCATCTTTTTTAAGCCACTATTTTTCAGGTCTCTGTACTCAGCCAAAATAAGTTCCTACCTGATACAGTGAGATGTAGTTGTAAATCAAAATTAAGCACTCAATAAAAGGAAATAAAAAGTACTAAAAGACTTGAGAAGAGAGAACTTGGGGGAGTCAGGGAAGGCTTCACAGAGGAAGAAACATTTGAGCTGGGTCCTGAAGATTGAGTAGGAGTTTACCAGACTTCAGGGACAAGATCAGATGCAATTATCTTGCTATTTATGGCTTTCTTGTTTATTGTCTGCCTCTTTCTTCTAAAAGGTAAGCATGGGGAGGGCGGGTACTGTAACTCAATTCCAGACACACAGTTAAGTGCTCAGCAAATGAATTAAAGAAGGTTCAAGAAATCCACACGTGTCACCTATCTGTTGATAGTTTTTCTTAGCTCCTTTCCATCTCAGATAATACTTCTGTTCAGTAAACATTTTTTATGGTGTTGGAGCCTTTCTCAGCTCCCTGATGACAAGTGAGGGCAGTGGGGATTTTTCTCATTGGCAGTCATTGCTCTGAGTCCTGACCACATACTGGATTTTTGCATTCCAGCTTGGACCACACACAGACTCTTGGTCTACCTTTACTTTCTTTTCAGCCTCCTTGAATCTACATTACACTTAGTCCTTCCTGTTCGGCTCAGCCCAGTTCAGACTTGGTTGCCAAGGTCATTCTAGATGGTGTGAAAGACCAGTGGAAGAGCAGGCAGGCAGACCTCAGCTTGGACCCACTGTGGGGACACAGCGGACAAAGATATAGCAGGAAGATGTCTCATGCATCAAAGCCAATAATTTTGCAGTGGGCCAGACCTCCTTCCTGTCCTTGTCTTTCTCTCTCTTTCTTCTATCTTTCTACCGTTCTGTATGAATCCTTCTCTTTCATTTCCTATTTCCTTTTACTGTACCAGCCCAAGCCAGAAAATTCTGAGAATGAATTTTTTACATGACTTATGGAATCCAGTGACAATTCTACCTGGTTTAGGTCCACATACTGCTCTACCAGCAAATAGTACGCAAAATTGTGTATACATGTCTGTTTAAATTTTTTTCTTGAGCAAGGGCCCATAGCTTTTAACAGATTTTCAAATAGGTCTGAGTTCCCAAAATTGTGAGCCACTAAAAAGGCTTGTTTCGGGGTGCAGATCACAGAGTGATACAACTTACCTATATAAAATGTTTGGAAAAGACAGATCTGTAGAGACAGAAAATAGATTTGTGGTTGCCTGGGGGCTCTGGGTGGGAAGGGAGAGGGACTGCTAATAGGCATGAAATTTTCTTTTGGGTTGATGAAAATGTTTGCAAATTGAATTGTGGTGATCACTACACTACTCTGTAAATTTATTAAAAATCATTGAATTTTACATTTAAAATGAATGAATTTTATGGTATGTAAATTACACTTTAATAGAGCTGTTAAAAAGTAGACATCAATTTCAAAGACTTAGAATATAAAATATCTTATTCATAATTTTTATATTGATCGCATGTTGAAATGATAATATTCTATATAAATTTGGCTAAACAAAACATATTTGTAAAATCCAAAAAGGGCAATTGGTGACTGTGGGCTGTCTGTCTCCTTAGGAGAAATGGCTCTGAGTAACCCAAGTTATAGAGTATATTTCTGATCTCTGCTGGGAGAAAGCAAAGAAGTGCATGGCAATCGAACAGGGAAAGGGAACCCCTATGTCTCCTTTAATTGAGTGGGGGTAGAGGTGAAGAAGGAGGGGTTCTTGATGTCTGGCTTGAAGGCAATGAGCCAGGGCAGATTAGTCAGATCTCAGGTAGGACTTACTGAGGTGGAGAGGTTCTTCATCTGGCTTGGTTGAAGATGACTCGTTGTCCTCGATGTCTTTGCCTGTCACCTGGATAACCACACTCTGGGGCTCATCTGAGCCAGGATTCACGGAGATCATGCTGCCCTGGGGGGATGACCCTCCACTGGTCCGAGACAGACTGAGTGTGGAGCCTCGTCGGCTTGGCTCGATGTCTTTGCCTGTCACCTGGATAACCACACTCTGGGGCTCATCTGAGCCAGGATTCATGGAGATCATGCTGCCCTGGGGGGATGACCCTCCACTGGTCCGAGACAGACTGAGTGTGGAGCCTCGTCGGCTTGCCTTGCAGCTGGTGGCTCTTACTGTAGGAATTTTGAATTTCTTGGTCTGAAGGAAAGAAGAAAGAGCGATGTCAGAAAGGAGAAAAAAGGTTGGAAGGAAGGAAGATAGGAGGGAGGGAAAGGGAGAGCGAGGGAGAATGGGAGGGAGGGAAGGTAGGAAGAAAGGAAGGGAGAAAGAAAAAGAGTGAAAACCTGGCTCTGATCGTAAAGTCCTTTTTGCTCTTTCCATACACCAAGAAACATGTCTTGGATCTGGAGTGACCTTTCATCACAAATCAAAGTAATTAAAAAATGAGTATTCTTTGAAGCAAACATGACAAAACTTTTTCTATTAAACGAGTACACAGTTGTCCAAGTATTCACCACGGGAAGCCAAATGTGTATCCAATGATGTTGCCAAGGCTCAGAAGAGTTTTTGACTTTTCTTTTGTAATAACTGTCAGAGTTGATGTTTACACCGTAGGAGAGAATGGGTCTAATTTCTTTAGCCATATCTTGGTTTTGACCCNCCAGCCCTGGACTGGTCTTTTTAAATCTGTAAGAAAAATAATCTTTCATCTTTTTTAAGCCACTATTTTTCAGGTCTCTGTACTCAGCCAAAATAAGTTCCTACCTGATACAGTGAGATGTAGTTGTAAATCAAAATTAAGCACTCAATAAAAGGAAATAAAAAGTACTAAAAGACTTGAGAAGAGAGAACTTGGGGGAGTCAGGGAAGGCTTCACAGAGGAAGAAACATTTGAGCTGGGTCCTGAAGATTGAGTAGGAGTTTACCAGACTTCAGGGACAAGATCAGATGCAATTATCTTGCTATTTATGGCTTTCTTGTTTATTGTCTGCCTCTTTCTTCTAAAAGGTAAGCATGGGGAGGGCGGGTACTGTAACTCAATTCCAGACACACAGTTAAGTGCTCAGCAAATGAATTAAAGAAGGTTCAAGAAATCCACACGTGTCACCTATCTGTTGATAGTTTTTCTTAGCTCCTTTCCATCTCAGATAATACTTCTGTTCAGTAAACATTTTTTATGGTGTTGGAGCCTTTCTCAGCTCCCTGATGACAAGTGAGGGCAGTGGGGATTTTTCTCATTGGCAGTCATTGCTCTGAGTCCTGACCACATACTGGATTTTTGCATTCCAGCTTGGACCACACACAGACTCTTGGTCTACCTTTACTTTCTTTTCAGCCTCCTTGAATCTACATTACACTTAGTCCTTCCTGTTCGGCTCAGCCCAGTTCAGACTTGGTTGCCAAGGTCATTCTAGATGGTGTGAAAGACCAGTGGAAGAGCAGGCAGGCAGACCTCAGCTTGGACCCACTGTGGGGACACAGCGGACAAAGATATAGCAGGAAGATGTCTCATGCATCAAAGCCAATAATTTTGCAGTGGGCCAGACCTCCTTCCTGTCCTTGTCTTTCTCTCTCTTTCTTCTATCTTTCTACCGTTCTGTATGAATCCTTCTCTTTCATTTCCTATTTCCTTTTACTGTACCAGCCCAAGCCAGAAAATTCTGAGAATGAATTTTTTACATGACTTATGGAATCCAGTGACAATTCTACCTGGTTTAGGTCCACATACTGCTCTACCAGCAAATAGTACGCAAAATTGTGTATACATGTCTGTTTAAATTTTTTTCTTGAGCAAGGGCCCATAGCTTTTAACAGATTTTCAAATAGGTCTGAGTTCCCAAAATTGTGAGCCACTAAAAAGGCTTGTTTCGGGGTGCAGATCACAGAGTGATACAACTTACCTATATAAAATGTTTGGAAAAGACAGATCTGTAGAGACAGAAAATAGATTTGTGGTTGCCTGGGGGCTCTGGGTGGGAAGGGAGAGGGACTGCTAATAGGCATGAAATTTTCTTTTGGGTTGATGAAAATGTTTGCAAATTGAATTGTGGTGATCACTACACTACTCTGTAAATTTATTAAAAATCATTGAATTTTACATTTAAAATGAATGAATTTTATGGTATGTAAATTACACTTTAATAGAGCTGTTAAAAAGTAGACATCAATTTCAAAGACTTAGAATATAAAATATCTTATTCATAATTTTTATATTGATCGCATGTTGAAATGATAATATTCTATATAAATTTGGCTAAACAAAACATATTTGTAAAATCCAAAAAGGGCAATTGGTGACTGTGGGCTGTCTGTCTCCTTAGGAGAAATGGCTCTGAGTAACCCAAGTTATAGAGTATATTTCTGATCTCTGCTGGGAGAAAGCAAAGAAGTGCATGGCAATCGAACAGGGAAAGGGAACCCCTATGTCTCCTTTAATTGAGTGGGGGTAGAGGTGAAGAAGGAGGGGTTCTTGATGTCTGGCTTGAAGGCAATGAGCCAGGGCAGATTAGTCAGATCTCAGGTAGGACTTACTGAGGTGGAGAGGTTCTTCATCTGGCTTGGTTGAAGATGACTCGTTGTCCTCGATGTCTTTGCCTGTCACCTGGATAACCACACTCTGGGGCTCATCTGAGCCAGGATTCATGGAGATCATGCTGCCCTGGGGGGATGACCCTCCACTGGTCCGAGACAGACTGAGTGTGGAGCCTCGTCGGCTTGCCTTGCAGCTGGTGGCTCTTACTGTAGGAATTTTGAATTTCTTGGTCTGAAGGAAAGAAGAAAGAGCGATGTCAGAAAGGAGAAAAAAGGTTGGAAGGAAGGAAGATAGGAGGGAGGGAAAGGGAGAGCGAGGGAGAATGGGAGGGAGGGAAGGTAGGAAGAAAGGAAGGGAGAAAGAAAAAGAGTGAAAACCTGGCTCTGATCGTAAAGTCCTTTTTGCTCTTTCCATACACCAAGAAACATGTCTTGGATCTGGAGTGACCTTTCATCACAAATCAAAGTAATTAAAAAATGAGTATTCTTTGAAGCAAACATGACAAAACTTTTTCTATTAAACGAGTACACAGTTGTCCAAGTATTCACCACGGGAAGCCAAATGTGTATCCAATGATGTTGCCAAGGCTCAGAAGAGTTTTTGACTTTTCTTTTGTAATAACTGTCAGAGTTGATGTTTACACCGTAGGAGAGAATGGGTCTAATTTCTTTAGCCATATCTTGGTTTTGACCCAAATTGCATGTGTCAACTTTTTGTTCATCAAGTTGATGTCTGGGCCTCAAAGAATGGAGGTTTATATTCACTGGGGTTTTCTAAAGAACACAAGATGAAGAAAATTCTAGGCCTGACATTTAGGAAGTGGAGAAGGGGAAGCAGATTTCCCTAGTGAGGTAGCATTTTTGCCATGGTTGTAGTAGGTGGGGAGGAATGGATGACAAGTCTTAGAAGGGACTAAAGGGTAGGTAGGGAAAGTCCTGTGAGGGGAATATGTATTTTTGGAAGGAAAGGAGTTGAAGAGAGCTGGTTACAGGTGTAGGGGTGTGTGTGTGTGTGTGTGTGGGTGGGTGTACATACCCTCCCGGCACAATTGGTGTAACTTCAGAACACACCATTCGGAGTCATGTGCCCATTCAACTTGTGATCCAAGTTTCAGAGAAGCTTCCTAACTTGCCCAAGATCACACCCCTAGCAAGTGGTGGAGCCAAGATTTAAACCCAGGTCAGGCTAACACCAAAGCTAATTACTATGCCTTGCTTAAAAACAAAAGCCTTTTTCCAGCAGGATTGGCAATGCCCTGGATACCATGCTGATGATTCTTTATGGCATTTAAAATGCCAGGTTTACAGTGGGGTAAGAGAAGGCCCTCAACTGCTCCAGAAAAACAGTTCAATACAGGCTGGGCTATAGTTTACACTCAATTTATAGAAACCCTTTTATTTGAGAACATTTAAAAATGAAAGCTCTTGGCGGGGAAGGGAGGCAGACTGATTTCTTCTTTAAATGAAACCTATAGTGTTTGATATGCTAGGAAAAAGGATAAAGAGAAGAGGCAGCACTGAAGGCCACACACACACACACACACACACACACACACACACACACACACACACACACACTTTTTTGGCATCTGGCCAAACCCTTGACCTTGGCGTTATCAGCACCATGCTCTAATCAAGTGAGCTAACTGGCCAGTCCCCACACCAATATTTAATACAGATGGAATAGTGTGGAGAGAATTGTATTCTGTGGGATTCATGTTAGGGAGTCTACTGTATGAGTACCCTGTGAGGCCCTGAATATGGATGGAACCTTCTTGTACCAGAAGAGGGGAGGGATTTCTTGGTTGCACAGGGGAAGGAGAAGGTGGGGGAAGCGGGGGGCTGTGAGGCTTAAGATGAGATCTCTCCCCGTGACTGCTCCTGTCTCCTCCACATCTTCAGCAAAACTCTATACAAATGACAGAGTGCTTCAGAATGTGACAGGCTGGGGAACTGGAGTTTGAACTGGATTGAATCAGATCTCCAAGGGTGGATGACAAAATGACTGAGAAAAAAAAAGCAAGTACCCAAAGTTAGCATATGCTCTCCTTTGATAAATTAGGAACTTTGTACAATGCTCCCTTTGTCTTGACACTGCAAGTGGTCAAGAGCTTGCCAGACTGACAGAAAGCCCCTCTATGCCCTGCCACTCTGGAGAGAGACGAGGTCAGAGCTTAGGGATATACAGGTAGAAGTTGACTCATCCTGTTTCATCTGGCACAGTATGAATTCCTGACTGGAAACCATACTCTCTAGATCAATGTCATTTTTGAAGGCTGGACAGATTGTGTCCTGGATCTTGCAATGAACACTGGACTCAGAACCAGGAGCCCTCAGGGGGGCCTTGAGCAAGTTGCACTGCCCTGCCTCAATTTCCTTATCTATAAAACAAGGTGGTGGGTAGTGGACTGGGATAACCTCAGAAGAGCTTTCCATATTCAGAGTTCTGTCTGCATCTTCTTTGAGCTAGGATTTCATCCTGTGCTCCTAAAGTTGCCATTAATTAAAATTCAATTATCCACTCCAGCCAGGAAATCCAAAGTGAAGGGATGACACCTCCGATTAATTGAGAGTAGCAGAAGAATAAAATGTGAAGGGAAGATGTGACAGGCAGTTTCAGCATATTGCTTGCCCTTTATTGAACTGACTGTCTCTGAATTGACTTAAATTCCCAAATGCTTTTTCTCTATTTTTTATATTTTCTCAGGAGTGGTGTTAACTAGCTGCTTGTTCTACCTCAGTAGGAACTGATTTTTGGCAATAGAAAAAAAGATTTCCCTGAGTGGTTCCTTGTACTTTCTAAGAAGTGGGAGTTGCAAACTGGTGGTCCCTGGGAGATGTGTTCAGCTGCCCAGTATTTTACAAATTGAGGAGATTTTTATATAGAAACTGAAGTTTTTGGTTTCTCTTGAAAATGGTAGGCCCTGGGTTCCCATTGTCACATGGCAAGATTAGCTAGAGCTGAGCAGAAGTTCTTCCCTTTAGCTACGTAGGAGTGTTCCAGTTTGCCACAGACCTTACCGCTCCCTATTGTTTCCCATCCAGCCTGATTTTTTTCATTAACACAATTTGCCTGGACCTTATAAATGACTGCTTTGGGACTGACAAGCTCTACACATATAGAGAAATGCAAGGCTTGTGGGAGTTTGTTGGAGTCTCTTGTTCAAAGTCCTCATTTTACAGATAGAGAGACTGAAGTCAGAAGAGGGAAAAGGACTTGTCTAAGGTCACACAGTGAACTGGATCACTGTGGCTGACCCGGGTCTCTTGTGTCCTAATTTAGTGCTCCCCTATGCCCAGAGTGGACCATGCTGCAGCCCAGGGTTTGACCTGCAAACTTGCTGGGGAATTCAATTAT